GGGGGGGGGGGGGGGGGGGGGGGGGGGGTGCTCTAGAAACATGATTCGAAGTGTTACAACAAATGAACGGGTCCCCGTCTTGGCTTTGAACAGACCACCGCGGTAAATTCGGCGATGCACCGCCCTAGGGCCAACACCACCCCCCATGAAGCAGGAGCTTCACGAAAGCATTCCAAAACATGTAGCGTGAAATTTCCAGATGTGACAGACCGAGACGTTTCACCAAGGCGGGTGAATCTCTACGAAACCCACCAGCGAGAGAGCCAGAGAGTCGATCGACCCCTACAGCAGTACAGCGCCGAAAAACCATGACACCCTTCACATAAAAATATAGTGCTATTTTTTTCGTCGCGGGCGGGGGGTTACACGGCAAGCCAGCCCACCAGCCTGCCGTTTCCCCCCTGTTCCACAGCGTCATCATCGCCCACCTCATCGCGAAACGGCCCGAAGTTCTTGAGCTGGATGCTGTGCAGCGCCAGGGACGTGTGGCGGTCCTCTCGCCCACGTTCCTTCCAGGTAAAAAGTCGGGGTTCAAGAAAAAAACAAAACGTAAAAACAGCAGCACCGCCATGAGTTTCGTTTGCTGAGCAATGGGGGAAGATGGGCCTTGAAAGAATCAAAAACAATGTTCCGCACGGCAGGAGCAATCTTGGTTGTGGGTGGTGAATTAGCTACGGTGACTGACACTCCTTGACGTTTCTGATATATTGTGGCGCGTTTCCTTGCTTTCGGATTCGGAAAGTGGCCGGGTAGCGTGCCGCGCTTCGGAAGATAACTCGCCGCTGTGGGCGTGCCGGGGCAGTGTTCTTGTCGATGACCACTGCAGCCTTCGGGAGGAGGGAGGTAGTCTCCAGCTACATACTGGAGGGCACCAACGATGGTCCTGTTCAGCTTCAACTATATGCCGGGAGCTGGCAAGCAGCCACCGCCTGCTCGAAATTGCCGACGAAGTTCATGCAACCCCTCTTCCAACAACCAACAGATGACGCACTTCTAGGTGTGAGCACTTTGCGCACCTTCGACGCTGCCTGCTGCCCGAGGCCTTTGATGAGGCTGAACCCCAACTCTTCTACCTGCCGTTTTGTCCACGGTTAACGGGGCAGCAACAACAAAAAGAAGCGAGAGCAAACGGTCGACGTGCGATGAACGTCAAGCGCACCAGGGTGGATTGGGGTAAGGGTGCCTACCATCACTACTGCCTCGTTCGTGTCCTCTGATCGACATAGATCCTGCACAACAAACCGCACTACTTCAAACACTCACCATGCCCATATTTTCCCGTTTCATCGTTTCATCGTTTTCTCTCTGCATGGCGTGCTTAGGTCCTCTTCTCGTATCTACGCGACGACGCAAGCGTTCCGTTGCGTGTACCTTGCATCGCGGCAGTCCAAAATCAACAAGTCATATTTCGAGACACAGTTGACCTCTCTCTCTCCCTCTCTCTCTCTCTCTCTCTCTCTCTCTCTCTCTCTCTCTATCTCTCTTTTCCCGGCTGTGCACGCATGCTCGACGCATCGCCCTCTGCAAGCGTCCCTTTGTCATGGGCGCACAATCCAGCTCCACCACGAGACTGTCGCACCCATCAGTTTTGGATCAAATCGTTTCGCGTCACGAACCTCCGAGAAAAAAACAACCAAGGAACAATATACTTTTACCTCTTTCGAGACGTTTCTGCCGCCACCCTCCCTCTCCCTCTCCAAGTAGGCGCCGAACAGCACATCGGGCGACAGGCCGGCCGAGTCCACCGGGAAGCTATTGGCCCCGTCGGCACCGGCGACGACCGCGGGAGCGGCCAGGCCAGCCGTTCCGTTCCCGCCGGCTCCTCCGAGGAAGGGTGTGAACGGCGGGAAGGGTCTCGGCTTCTCGCGGATCTCGACCTCCACCATCTCCTGAAAAACGCGGCGCGATTTTCATTCAAATTCATTTGGATGGGATGGGCGCAAGAACCGGTTTACGAGTTGCGGGTACAGTGGCCGTGTTGCCCTTTTCGATAAGCGAGGAAAGGCCTCTGCGGGTCGGTGGCGCGGGTGTGTTTGGTGTGTTTGGTCAAAGTAAACAACCAGCGGCGGCGGCGGCGGCGGCGACGGCAGCAGCACTGCCCTGCATAAGCTACAAACAGAAGTCTCGGTACAAGAACACCGATGGTTTCGTTTCGTGTCGCCGCGCTTTCAATTGGCGTGTCCTGAATGGTCCGTGAAATTAAAAAAAAGAAGCAGAACTGCTCCAAGTTGCTGCAACATCTTGTCCACTTTGCATCAATACTTGAGCAGTGCTGCACCTTCATGAGCTCCCCCGCGCGCTGCCTGACGTCATCAGAACCGGCGTCCTTGACAGTCCATACCACACGGTCGCCGGGTGAGACCTTTCCCGCGAAACGCGCAACGAAAGAAGCACCAAAATGGGGGGGGGGGGTGGGCAAGGTGGAGAACGCGCGCCAACCCCCAAGCGGATGATTCGTGGGTAAACAACGCTTAGAGCGCGCAAGAGGGGCTTGTGAAGGGCAGGGAGAGCGAATGGAGTAGGTGTGGGTGCACCGGGGAGGGGGGTACTCTGTCGAAAGGCAGCACAAACACGAAACCCTTTCCCGCTGCCAAAAGGACGCACCCACCACTGGAACACGCTGCTTCAAAAAACATACCAACACACATCGTTTGCTCTCGCGGGCACTCTTACGTCCTAGTTCGACATTATCAGTCGTGTTGTGCACCACCCGCACACCCACAACTGCTGTGTCGTACTGCCGCCCACCTCTCCAACCTCGGGGAGTGGCTGTTCTGCCCCCTTGACCCTGAAGAAACGCCTGCCAATGTCGAGCGGGACGAGCTCTTTCTCTTCCCAGGTTTCGGCGTCCAGCACGATGAGCGCCTTCGATTGCCCGGACTCCGACAGGGCGGTCTGTTCGCCCAGATAGGAAGAAATATAGAGTGACAAGAGTCATGATACGGTATGGCATAGCATCGTGCGCCACTCACCACCCACTTCACGCGCCATTTAACGTTGGGCCTACGGATGCCACGAGACGGCGTGAGGTGCGACAGCAAAAAGGTCATGGTGCGAACCAAAAAATAAACGAAACAGACGAAACAGACCTCCACACGAAAAATGATGGAATCAGCTAACCGGCACGACAAGACCTCGAAGCAAGCAGAGCAAAGCAACGCGACTCGGGATGCCACAGTTAACGTAGCGCCTCTATACAGCGGTCGCCCACCCACGCACACCTGGTACGGGGAGCCGACGTAGCGGATGAAGCCGTCTCGCCCGCCGAGCGTGTGGGGCTTGTGGACGTGTCCCGAGAACGCCGGCACGTTCGGCGGGAAGGCCGACCTCGGGATGCCGGAGTGTGACGAGACGTCGCCGTTCATGGCCGCTCCCTTGATGTCCACGTGGCAGAATATCGCCCTGTACGCGAGGGAGGCAAGAAGCGTTTGGTAGCACGTACTCGGGTGTCTCGTCTTCTTGGGGCTGTACCGAGGGAAGCGGGATTGTTGTCTGGGACGGTGGCGGTTTGTTTCTTTGTCTACATAGCCGCGAAAAATACGCAATTCCTCCGAAGATCTGTAACTTACAGCAGCAGCAGCAGCAGCAGCAGCGTGGAAGCACACACAGATACACACACAACGCGCTCCGAAACAAGCGTTTATGTACGTAGCACATAGGTGCCACTCGATGGTAGTGCCCCTTGGCGGCACAGCGGTCACAAGGATGGTCAAACACAGAAAAAATAGAGGCACTCACCCCGCGCCACGGGCCTCGTCGCTACCCAGGAGGCCTTCCATCTCGGTGTTGTTCCTCCGGTGGGGTATCCAGAGAGCGCCGAGGAAGAGCGTTGGTTCCGACAGAACCAGCGCCTATGCGATGGATGCGAAACCACACGAAACAATAGTGGGGGGGGGGAGAGCAATTATTTCAAAAAGAGGGTGGTTGGGAATACACAACCCGCGCGATCAAAGCACGTAGCGATGGACGGGAGTAACGGGAGTAACGGGAGTAATGTTCGAATCGGCTACGTTAAAGCGTTAAAGGTGTAGGCAAGGTACGCAGGTTGGAACCAACATGAGAGAGCAGGCATTCCACGCTGCACTTTCGCGTTTTTTCTTCGAGGTGCTGTGTCCGAGTAAATTTTGCTGACGGTGCAGCATGCTCTAACCCTAAGTACCGTCATGCGCTCATTTGAAACACTGCCGCCCTGCTGTACCCCGCCACAAACCGTCCACAGCCACGCCAACCCACACAGGGGATCTGGATACGCTCTCGCACCAGTCGGCATGTACCGCCTGATACGCATAGAAACAATCGATGGGCCTCGTCCAAGCTTAGAATGGGGGCGACTCCCAAGACCATGAGTTTTCTGGCCGACCCACCCCTCGACACCGCCGACCGGCCTAAAAAACCGCCGTGCTAACCTACCTGCATCGGATCGGTGAAGGCGAACTGCAGCGGGGTAAGGGCGTGCATCCCGCCGCCGAGGGTGACCTGGTCATGGTTGCCGGGGATCATCACTACCGGCCGTGTCCAGGTCGCCAGGTGCTCCATCACCGGAACCAGAAGGTCCACCTTTCGGAGTTGTTCGATTTCGGCATGGCATGTTGTTGGCGGCATCAGAGGGGTTAGGGTTAGGCTTGCGTGTATTTCAGTACACAAGACAAGGGCCTGCACTTTCAGAACTGTCCGCTGTCGTGGAATCAATCCACTATTGTAGACTTCACAGCCCAACATACACTACTTGTGGAGCCCCATGAATACCTTGAGGGCCAACCCCACTGTCATTGGTTGAACACGGGACAAAGACACCGTACGAGTACACGGCTCTACAGCAAGAATCTTGTGAGCCTGTTCTAACAAGCGTCGGGAACGGGTGCACCAATCAGAGAAAAGTGCAAGAACGCTCGGCATCACCTTGAGAGAACCTCTGGCGTGCCAAAAGTCGCCCAGAAACGCGATCCCGCAAGCCGAGCGCTTCATCGCCTCCTCGTTCACGCGATCAAGCACCTGTTGTTAAGCAGATGAACGCAAGCGACGGGAGCCAGGTGTCCGTACCATGATTAGGAGGGCGGGACACAACAGCGGTCGACCGCCGTGGTCGAAAAACAAATCAGAGGCGACCTGGGAAATACAGGTACAAAAGGGCATCCTACTACTCTTTGGCGGATGAAAGCTTGAGCAGCATTCGCAATACCTCTTAGAGAAGCAAAGCGACAGTAATCCCTCGAACGACACGTGCACCACACCACCACCACACCACAACACACCACGCCACGCCACGCTCCGTACCTCCAAAGAAACGGCGAGCGAGGCTGGAGACACATGCAGGTCCGAGAACACCAGCCATTCCTTCATCGTAGCGTGCGCCAAACCGTCGGCGCTCATGTTGAAAACAGCGGTCGTGGCCGTCTCGCTGGCTTTCTCTGCTAATGCTGCCGCCGCCGACGGCGGGGACGCTTGCAGCGAAATCGTTCGCCCCGCCAGCGATGGCGGCACAACGCCGGTCGACCCCCTCGTCGTTTTCCCTCCCGCCTTTGTTCCTTTCCCTCTTGCGACAGCCTTGCCTCCTGTGCCGGCAACGGCTGTGGCGGCGGCCGATCCAGGCGCCGCGGCCACCTCCTTGGTTTTCCCATTCCTCTTGGTCGAGGCGGAACGTCGTCGCTTTGCCGCTGGCGTTTTGGCTGCTGGAGAAGCCGCCGCCGCCTCCACCGCTGCCTCCACCGCCGCCGATGTCCCCGCCGATGTCTCCGCCGCTGTGGACGGCGACGCGTACGCGTTGCCGAGAGGCTCCATGTTCATCCTTCGAGTCGACACGGGACCACTTGGTCTCGAGGCAGCATCGGCCTCCGTTCCCAGTGCTTTCCCGCTGGCTGCCCCGCCGCCTCCTCCTCCTCCCCAACTCTCCAGCAGGTCTACTTTCCACCAGCCTCCGGCCTTCCCCACGACCGTGCCGAGGCGGCCGGTGTCAAGCAAGCGCACGCGAGTTCCGGCGACGATGGCAGCGCTGCTCATGGTGGGCTTATCTTCCGGCGTTTTCGGTCTTCTGGTGGTGGTGTCATCTTTGGCGGCCTTCATCTCGGTGCTGGTAGAAAAGCCGCCGAGCCCTCGGCGAGCCGCCCTCGTGCTCCCCCGCGCTGGCGGCGCGACAATCGGTGCAGTACAAGCCCCTCCCCAGTTGCCAGGAATCGCCGGCCCTTGTCGTCGGTGGCCCGAGGATGCAAGGGCATAAAGGGTAGGCTGATTTCGGCGCCCACGCTGCTCGCACTTTGCGTTGCTACGGTCAATGGAATACCAGCCGTCGACGCCGCCGCTATGTCTATCATCCACGAGTCCGCTAGTGCGGGAGAACTCGCGCAAGGCGCGAGGCAGCCGACAACGACCGCTCTGCAGTGTTCCCGGCATGCCGCCGACAAAGGACAGCATGGACGAGGTGGCGGAGGAGCCCAGGCACGCGAACAGCACCGCCGCTACGCAGCGGTTGTTGGTGGTTGGAGTCGGTAATCAAGGACGGAACAGGGAGGATCCAGGAGGAACATTACAGCAAGTAGTGTTGATGTTGAGGTATACATGAGCACAGCACTGCTGCTTATCGCAGACAGGGCGAACGAGCGAACGAGCAGGTAAACAGATCGTATCTACAAGTATGCGTGGGAGGTCGTGGCTTTTTCTAAAGCAGCGCGACAGACGCACACACCCTGATGTTACTGAAAGGTGAGCATCTACAACAGCAATACCCGTAGCGAGTAACTGGCCAGTCCGTGGCGTCTATGACAATGGCAGTGTAGCAGGACATGGCAGTTTGGGTCACATGAAACAGGAACACAGGCAGGACGTCCCAGTAGTACTGACTGAAACTTACCCTGCGGGCAGTCGCGCATCGTCGCCTCCGGCCAGGTGTGCGTGATTGGGGGAAATGAGGAGTTGGCGGAGTGGCATGCGTGCTGTGCACGTGACCGAGTAGTACTTACTACGCACGGTGCTCAGTCAGTGCTTTGCTGTGTCTCCCAAAGACTATGACTATAATAATAAGGTTATTATAGTCATAGTCTTTGGTGTCTCCCAGCTCGAGGGAGCTCCGGGTGTATCTAGAAGCAGATGACCCCGGGCTATGTGTGTACATACCTCCCCAGCTGACGACCCCCCATGCAAGCGTCTTGGCGTGGCGCTCCTCTGTCCTGTCTGCTCTGCTCTCTGCTCTGCCAGACTGCAGACACTACAGTACACAAAGCGGCGAAACGTAGCATCCAACCTGCGGTCAACCCAACTTCGAAATGTGAGAGCTTAACGCATACCAGTGTGTGAGATTTCGCAGGAGTGCACGTGTGTTGTTGATGATTGGACGTTGGCGTTGCCACTGGCTCTCTGTGTCCCAAAGTCATCATGTTCAGTTAGCTGCACATGTTGAACCCGTGACTGTTTACATGATCCCCACATACACCTTTGCAGCAGCCACCGCCCGTGTCAAAGCGACTACTCCCTCTGCAGAGCTCTATTTGTGAAGACGGCCTCCCTGACATGTTGTAGCCATGAAGGAAGATCACCATGCGTGTTTGTGCCCACTTTGCCCGTATAATTGTTACCTACCAACCGCCGTGGATCCATCCATCCACCAGGCCAACGTCCAAGTCACCACACGCGAAGGCAACGAAAACGATGAACGCCTTAGCAGTGCTGACCCTGGGCCTCCACGCCACGGCCGCCTTCGTCACCTCTGCCGGTCCTCATTCGCGGAGCACCACTGCCGCCGGTGTCCACAGCGCCAAGGCGGCCATCAGCACCAGCAGGGCTGACGCAAGCAGGATATTGGCCAGCACTGGCACTGGGTTTTTCGAATCCCTCTTCGGTGGACAGAAGGCGAGTCCCGACGACATCTCACTTTTCGGAGAAGTTTAGACTATTGCTACGCACACCGACACTAAACGTGCCCGCGACGTAAGATGACACCTCTTCAGGTGCATGTGTCGAGTTCGGTTGTTGCTCCAGGACCTTTGGCACGGCTGGGAGAGGTGCCACAACAACGGAGGGATAAAAGAACGGCTTCCTGAGGCCACTTGTTACAATAATATCTTGTTTCCTGACAATAGTATCTTGTTTCATACTTGGTCCCACCACCGTGCTCCTCGGTACCTTCTCTTGTTATGCAGAAGGCAGACGGGCATTCCCCGTCCCGTCGAGCGATGTCTTCCGCATCGTCATATCGAAAACGCCATCATGGCAACCCATGGAAACGTAACCACCTCCACCCCGCTTCTGTACACCTTGGATGGAGTTATCCTCGGCGTGCATACTGCAGTACTCGCGCCGACATCTTCGCGCAATCTCCCGGGCAAATGTTGCGAGTGATGTTACTATTAGGATTTATCGTGTTGGCGAGTAGAACTGATACGTTTCCCGACGGCATCAAGGTCGTTGCATTGTTCCGGGAGTGAACGACAGCATATTGGCCAATATATTTTTTAATAGCTGAGTGGCCGCTGTAGCAGCGCAGCCTTGGCACCGTGTACATGTTGATTGCCCAAAATATGTGTTGGGATTGTAGCACTTGTACAAAAATCAAATATTTTCCACCTCTGTTTATGGTATCCTACAGCTCACATGCTACAACAACAATTACCGGTGTGCGATCAGAACCAAACATGACCTGACCCTCCGTGTGTTCTTGAGGCACACACGCCGCTGGCTACGGCATTTGTTCCAACTGTTGTTGTTGTTGTCTTCGTAGGAACTATTGTTCCGATCTCTGCTGAGCTGTCTCACCCCAAGGACTATTTTAAAACACTTGGCAGACGAAAGAGCAAAACAACTCCGGAGAGACGGCCCGGCTAAGCGAGGAACTTTTCGACTTTCTGACCGCCGAGGGCGCCAAGCCTGACGATGTGGCTGTGATGGAGAAGATCGAAGAGCTAGAGGTATGTGCTGTCTGGCGAAGTTGGGGATCAAACGAGCGCCTCGTATCTATGTAGCCCAAGTACCTTCCGTCTTTGCGTTACCCCAGGGTCTCTCTTGCCTCTTGTGCCCCAAGTAATGGCGAGTGTTCGAGTGTTCGCACCCCATCGACCGACTTGCTTAGCTCGGTTGCACCATATCGTTTAGGGTACGATATCCATCCGACACGTGTACGGAAAGCTCTCGACGAGGTTCTTCCAGAATCACCGTGGTCCGGAGGTGGTTTGGGGAGGGTGCAATCACACGCCGTTTTACGGTATACCTCTCTTCTTTTGGTCGTAGAATGTGCATGAACTTATCGTGATCCGCAAACCATTGGCGTGTAGCTTTAAGCTGATGATGCGTTGGGAGCGTGGTGTGGGTCTTCCCTCGATTGTTACAGTCATCACCAGCATTCCCCCCGTGTAGTTCAAAGCGTTGTTTAGTGATAAGTGTTCGCCAGTAGGTGCATTGTACGCCTGTCAATGGGCCGTGTTTGCAACGCGTTGCGACAGCAACCCCTAAACTAGAATAACTTCTGTCGCACAGGCGGCCCCAGGAGTTTCGTTCAACAAGGACTACTTGTACGATGGGCCGTGGCGGGTGCTGTGGAAAACCAACACGGCTTGGCAGCGGTACTTCGATCCTCTCAAAAGCGTGGCCGATAACCGCGCGTATCAGTGGTACAAAGAGGTGAAGGTGCCGTCAGCAGAACGCACAGAGCTCGTGTGGCAAGATCATCACACGAAGAATGATCGCGCGAAGAGAAGATAAAACCAGCTAATACAAGTACACGTACACTAGCCACGACCTTGTCTTTTGTCTTTTGTTCTCGTCTTTTTCTCGATTTTTTCGGTTGTCGTGTGTAGCTGCATATTTAGCGCAAACTGGCACTAGCGCGCGGTTAGTTGCCCTTTCACACGCATGCCCAACAAAAGGGGGGGGCAGTAGTCTTCGTCTTTCCTTAGTGAGGGGGCAAAAGGCACGAAAGGAGTAGGTGCCGCAGACTATGCTGCTTAGCTGCTTTTCACGGCGAGCACATCAACACAGACAAAATAAGCACCCTCGTTGTTTCCACGACCGGGTCCCATGCTGTTTCCCCTCTCGACCGCGTCACCGGGAACCGGGGGACAGGATGGATCGGTGACCAACATTGCACAAGCTCTGGGCGACAAGCTGTACGTGACTGTAGACGGACAGGGGTCCCCGGCATCTACGGATACGGACCTACCGTACGAGGTGATTATTTTTCTCGGTTTTGTAGGAGAATCGGGTGGTTTGGCCTTCTTCGGTGTGGCGTTCGGCCCCAGTAGGGTGTGTGCGGCTCTAACGCTCACGGGAATAGGACTTTTTTTACGAGCGTGCACGAAAGAGCAACCCTGGAATAACTGGTGGTTACTCCTGTGAATGTCTCGTAAACTTTATCGCCTACATCAAGAATTTTTCTCTATATTTTGCCCGCAGGCGCGGGAGTGCCATAAAGGGCCGCTCGAGGGTGCCTCAACGCACTTGGAGACGGATCGCGCATTGCCTGCTGTTGTAATCCTAAGTTTCCACCCTACGCGAGCAAGATCCGCTTTTGCTTGCACATGCATGCCTTTACACGTTTCTCGAGCTTTCGCGTTCTCACGCAGTCCCAAGAAATGCTACAGGCGGATAGATTGGACTATATAGTCTTTAGTCTTCGAGCGGCCCAATTGTCGGCGCCAGGTTCCTGTGTGCCCCTTCTGGCTATGAGACGCTCTGCTGGGTCCTCCCTGCTCCGCGTCAAGCGTCCGCCGACTGATCGCCTCGCGTCATCGTACTTTCATGTCGCTTGCCCACTGACAAAAGCTCCCCGATCGCTTTTGCTAGGTCAACGTGGAGGTCTCCCGAGCATGGCTTCACGCGCTGGGCGGGAAGATACCGCTAGACTTCATCAAGGTGGGAGGCGCGTGTAGCAAGATGCAGTCGCCCATCGCTCTCCTTGCTTGCTCCTTCGGGCGTCGTTTGCCGATGCCTCGGAGCTGATATTCGCTCGGTGAATGATTCGTTGGCCTGTAATACTTGCATCGGCTCCACCGTAGCTTGTATGTCGCACTGCAGTGAAGCACTGGGAAAAGAGCGAAGTGCAAACTACCGTAAGGTTGCGAGTCAGCGCACAGGGGTGCGATCGATTTTCAAAGCGTAATTGCTCCACAACCAGGAGGGTGCGAGCGCCAACTGATAGATCTCAGGAAAGCTCTCGATGAGGTATTTCCAAAAGCGCCCCTTTCGACAGCGGTAACCTCCTGGTTGTGGAGAAATCACGCTTTGAAAATCGTTCGCACCCCTGTGCGCCGACTCGCAACCTCACGGTATCTAATTTTCGCACTCACGACGAAATGACAAACGTCGTAACCAGCAGAGGCAGAGTCACCTGATTGATGTACCGAGACACTCCAATAGCGTCCCCTTTGGGGTTTCGTGGAACAAATGCCCTGTGCGCGGGGACTTCTACAACGATCTGGAAACACAACTGAGGGGTCTTCTCCGGAATTTATTGTTACGCCGGCGACCCCCGTTGTAGTGGGGGAAGGGATTGTTTGTCCTGCCCGATGGTATCGCTTTTCATCACGAATGACGACGTATTTGGAGTTCGGAGCCTCAGCCAAACGCACCTGCTGTACTTTCCGTCACAAACCCACGGTTGTGCCTGCCGCCCGCCGATTCCGTGTGCTAAATCGTCCTCAGGGGAAAGGAACAACGTTCGTGGTGTACAACGACGCCAGATTGAGGATTTTCCGGTCCGATACCGGTGGGGTTGTTGTGCAGACAAAAGCCGACGAGGTTGTGCCTGTGTGACCTGAGCTCACGTTGGCGATTCTGGCTACAAATCCCCACCCACCGCGGTCGAGAGAGAGGTTTACGATGATGATGGCGTTGCGTCGTCGTCAACATGACAACTTTTTACACGCAAGATGCTAGAATAGATACGGCACTCCGTTGTGGTTGGCCATACGGTAGAGTCAGCAACCTGTTCGAGTGTGTCTCGCTTGGAGTGGTCGATTCCCGTTGGTGTTGTCTCGAAGCCCGAGGAATGCGGGAAATATACGCCTCTTTGCTTGGTTTCGGGACTTCGACAGTGGTAGTGTATTTGCACTCGCTGCGCCCGGGATACAGACGTGAACACACGCACATTTACGAGCTGCCATTTTGAATCGTGCAGGCCAGCTGCCATTTGGTCATTTGAAGCTTGTGTGGGCTTAGCTGCGGTGCTCAGCATCAAAGCTCACACGCAAGAGTAAAGTCCACGGGCAACACAGAAGGCAGTGTGCAACCTGTTGCGCGAACCGCGCCAGTTCCGAGACGGAGGGGACCCTCTGATGGTTGAAACATCATAATAATCCAAATAGAAGTTCAACGCCGACGTTTCTTGAAGCCAACTTCTGACGAACCGGCGCATAGATGCTGGCGCTCACAAGAGCGAGTGATCACAAAACAACGGATCATCGCCTGATGTTTGCAATCTACGTAGATAACTCAAACCCCTCATCACACAATGGCAAAACATTCTCGACTGCTGCCATCAATCTTCAGGCTCAAAATCCTCGTCTGCATACCGCATGGAGACATCATCGAGTCCTTTCGCAGCAGACTCGTCCACAACAACTTCACTACTACTACCCGTGCGGTTGTCACCCCCGTCCACGACACCAAGGTCTTTCAGGTGTTTGACCGAATCGTCGATCCCCTCGGCGCTGTTGCGCCACGTGGAAACAAACCTCCCGTCCGCGAGGTAAATGCGGCCATGGTGCCCCTCCTCCTGCTCCTTCTCCAGACCGTCATCTTCCGAGACCGAGTCAACGTCCGACACGGCAGCTTGCTGCTCCCCCGGTGATGACGACGCCGGTCCTGTCCCCCCCACAGCCCCATCTTTTGTAGGCGGCACCCCTGCGCTGGTGTGCAGCAGGGTACTCCCTTCGGTGTATGCTGCTTCTTCTTTTGAGGATGTTGTTTCGGGTTCTCCCGCCGTGTCTGCCCCTGCTTTTGGCGCGCCTGCCGTCCCGACTTCGGCACCGACAGACGTCGCTGGCTCCTTGCAATGATTTGTGATGATGCCATCTCTAGCTCGGGTTCCCTCCAATTCGGTCAGAGATGTCTTCTTGCTACCGCCGTCACTCTTCTCCAACGCGGACGCCTCGGCCCCTCGAGGTGTGCCTGGCCTTACCAAACCAGGCTCCTCGCTCTCCGACAGCTTCTTCTCGGGCTCTGTTCGTGCGACGCTTTCAGGTCCCTCTGCACCATTGACCACCTCGACATTTCGCACGTCGCCGGCAGCTCTTCCAGCCTGACCTTCTTCCTGCCCAACGTCGGTGGTCCCCGCCATAACGCTCCGTTGACCAACCACTTGAGCGTCGCCTCGCTCACCCGTAAGGTTGTTGTCGGCCAAGCTAGCATTGTCCCCTTCGATGACGTTGTTAGCTTCATCTAGAAGCCCGGCGGGTGTGCCCAACGACGGGAGACTCCCACCATTCGCGACTTTCATCCACCATTTGCGGTACATCGCTCGCAAAGCAGCCTGCTCCTGAGACCCAATTCGCGGCAAGTCGGCCGAAAGCTTGTCAACTTCTACGCCCGTAGGCACGCCTTCTGGTGCAACTCCCCGTCCGCGGCTCCCACCGGTCGTGGTCGTTGGGCTGTTCTTTCTCTCGTACAGAAGGCATCTTATCGTTGCCTCGACGGTGCTCTCGGATGCCTTAGTGTTGCCGCCGCCGCCGCCGCCGTCCTCCTCCGCAGATTCACCACGTATTGCTTCTGACGCCACTGCTGCGGTTGAAGGGCAGCTGATATCCTGCAGGATCGACAGAGCTTCAACATGCTCTGACTTGAGAGCTTCAAGGTCTTTGTTCTTGTGAAGCCTTTCCTTTGCGCTTGCGATTCTTTGCTCGGATGCTGAGGCTGATGCCGATTCTGACTTCACAGCATCGATACCTGCTGCTGCTGCTTCTGCTACTGCTGCTACTTCAGGCGGTGCTGGCGGATTGGAAGAAGCACCGGTGGGGCTTGCTGCATCGACGTTCCAACGACGTCTTGTCCTGCGGTCGGGTTTAGGGATTGACGTAGTCGTCTCAGCTGAAGAACGGTTCTCACCGTTCAATCGCGGCACCATGCGAGCACGTCTGGATGAAGAGTCGGTCGTGCTGGCATCCTTTGGTACCCCTCGGCGCAATTTTCCATGAGGTCTTGAAGTCCCCGCTACTGCCTCCGTTCCTGATGATAACGACGGCGCCTGATGTCTCGCAAGCTTGGCTCGGGAAGAAGTGGAGGCACCGCCGTTGGTAATGAGGGGCCGTGGTCGAACACCATGCGTGGCGGTGGCTTGAGTTCGCATTGCCGAACCACGACCTGCGTCCCTGGGATGATTTCTTGCCCCTCGAAAGTCATTAGTCGATGATGTGCCACCAGGAACTAAGGGGGGTCTAGGAGAAGCTACCGTCGCCGCTGTGATTGGATCTCTCGGAGAAGAACCATCGGTTGTGCTCGTTCCGAGATTATTTCTGCCTGTAGAGTCATGTTTTCCAGATTCTCGGCTTGAGTTATAGGTGTTAGTCGTTCCCACGAGGCCTTCTTTCTCCACAGCTGCCATGGGGACAATGCCACACTGATCAAATAGGTCGATTGCTGATTGGCCCGAGCTGATCGCGTGGTTTTCCTCTGCGACCACCCTGTTTGTATTGTGAGACGATAATCCTTGCAGCATTAGTTGACCCTTTTCGTCCGCCTGGTTGCTGCTGCTGATGAGACCCTCTTTGTGTTGTGAATGCAAGACGTGATTCTCGTCTCCTGTCGTATCCGGAGCTGTATTATTTGTTCGAACGAGATCGCTGCGAGATCCATATGGATACAAACTTTGTGTGCTTCCCCCTAGTGCTGATACTTGATCTGCTATCGCTCGCCTGTCATCGCCCCTTGCCATTTCGGAACGGTCCATACTGTTGCGGTGTTGGGCGTGCGCGTTCACCTCATTTCTACCGCCCCTCAGGGCTTCCTCGAGCGAAGACCTCCTCCCCATCGGCGTAGGAAACTGCTGGATGTCGCTGCCAACGTTCCCAAAAGGATTGGCAGGGTAGTTTGGTTTGACGTCTGCGTGCTGGAATCGACGATGAGCCGTATGGTGCGTGTGATGGCTGTGGTGCTCCGATACATTCGGAAGAGGGCGGCGTTTTCCCCGCCTGTCGGGTTGTGTTATTGATGAGGAAGATGTGCTGCCACCGACGTTGCCCATAAGCTTTCCCGACGCCAACACCGACTTGATCTGGCGGAGACGATGTATACGCCCCTTTTCCTCTTGTAGGAATATCGAAGCAAGCCTAGCAAGGACCGCCGCACGAGCAAAAACGCATTTTATCAGCACCTCTTGTCTTAATGTGCACAACAACGTCTATGAGAGGAGGCAGAGAAGCTTTGGGAGACAAAACTGTAGGTATGCTTACATGTAGATATGCAGGGATATTGATTGGTTATTACAGACTTTTATTGAAGTACACACATGCGTACTGTAGACAAGATTGCCCACAGGAATGCCGAATACATACTTGCACCGCAGGCATGATTTCACGTCAAGCAATCACGATGCGGATAGACTTAGTGCCCTCACTGGATACACGCATGGTTTGATCTTCAAACCATGCACTCAAGGCGGCTGCTGTACGTTGTTTAATCTCACTTTGGCGTGCCAAGCGCGTGCTTCGCTCGATCCGTCATCCATTTTTCACGACGGCCGTCAGTGAGATCTGCGAGCTCCTTCCACCGTTCCTCATGAGCGTCATCAACGCCTGCACGTGTTCCTCGAGCCCGCACGTTCATCTCAAAGCCGTCCACGGTCATCGCACGAACGACCTTGATGGGGTTTATAATAGATCGTGCATCGGGGAGCCAGCGATCCTCTCAAAACCACAGACCCACATGTATGTTGACCGGTTACAAAAATGAGATACCTTCTCGTATGCATATCAGTAGACCATGAGTGCAATAGGGAAACATGAGCAACAAAACCAAGAAATACCTTAGATTGTCCACCACCAGTAGTTTAGTGTTCGAGCAAAGCGACAACGTGTGGACGGGGGAGAAAGAGGGAGGGATCAGGTGATCAGGTGTAATGTAACTAATGTCGTTGACAATTGACATTGACGTAACGTCGAATCGTCGGCGATTCCGCCGCGTTTTTTTTGTTCTTTCTGGGATCTCCATGTCGGACCTCTGTGTGAGCAGCGGGACTCCACAAGAGAGTCTCGGGCTGTTGGCATAGTCTACAGGCAATTCTTTCCAATGTCTCAACAACTAACGAGGCCACCACTGGAAGTTTTTTCACAAGCATATATACATCTTTAATGCCGCCCTGGACAAACCGACAAAGCAAAGGCCAGATGCCGTCGCCAGGACATTGTACATTCTTCAAAGAAACCGATCCACATCTTGTTGAGAATACCCTCTTTCTGTTACGAGAAAGGGTCCCTGGAGTGGTGAATAACCGTTCACCAACGGAGGTAAAATCGCTTTTCTTGCAATGTGGCGAGGAAGTGCCAAGCGTAGCCGAGAGTCTCGGCTTAGCTAGTTCAAGAAACGTGGAAGGTGTGAGAGTGAGGAACGTAGGGCGCTTTCGCCTCCATCTCCTCATCTCCGAGAGTCACATGAATAGTCACGGTATTCTGTGAATCTTTCCTGGCAAACGTCTTCAGACGGTAGAACGTTGTTCATGTAGTCCGACGATCTTTGCTGGTCGCATGTGCATCATTACCCCTAGGAAGATACTTATATCCTGGTTTCCACATTGTTCTATGATACCACACCCTATTGAAACTTTTACGACGGATCACGCGCCCTTTTATCCTCTGAAACTATGAGGGTACCAACAACAACGTGGCACTACTTTCTTCAATATGTCGGATTCGTTCCACCAACCGACGGATTTGTGTGTGTCTATTATCATTCGCGTCGACCGCGCTGAACGGCCGACCAATGATAAATGCGCCAGTCTTCAGTGCGGCTGAAAACAGAAGCGCTTCTTCTGAAGGCCCTGATCTGGGCCAAAGACAACGGTAGCAGAGAAATGTACGTGTCTACCAAGACTTCTATGCGCTAGTCGTGTTTGTTTCGGCCCCCTTCGCATTTTGTTGCTGCTTCCATCGTCCTCCCTGCCTTTACCATTCCCTTCGCCAAAAATATTTCAACCTTAATTTTGGGTATCCTATTCCTCCTGTGCTTGTGTGGAAGATCAGCTGGGTCGAAACCTTTGCTCTCCAGGCCACCTCTTCCTTCTTCGTTTATGTTTCCATTCGTCTCTCTTCCTCCATTTCCTCCTACTTCTATTTGTAGTACTTACAATAAAACATGACAAATCCATCTCTTCCACGGCAAAGAGTTCGGAACAGATTATTAGTAGCGAATCCAACCAGTATTTCTACGATTCCCGAGCAGAACATGGGGGTACTTCCCTGTGGACACTCTCAAAGTCCAGAGACTGCCGTGCAGTCAGTCCACGCCGCCTTGGTGAACTCATGCGATACCCCTGTGCAATTTCAAGGGTTGTTTACCCTCGCCTAGCGTATACTATCCCGGCGTCCCGAAGTTTTGCTAGCCACCATTCACAATTAGGGTTAACTTACATTCCACGCAACATCAGGGAAAAAACGGGCGCGCAACGTGCAGAATATAGCAGACTAGGGAATGTCTCAACCTGAAGGATCGAATCAAACACAATTTTGAGGGACCTTTCACTCCCAGCAGACCACACAACATATCAAACACAATTTTCGGGAACCTTTCACTCCCAGCAGAACATGCAAATCGCGAACACAGAGGTGTAAGCCGGCTCCTGCGCGCTATCTAAATTATTTCAAACAAGCGTGGACAACGAAAAGTAAAGCACTTTGTACATCATGCCACAGTAGTGTTGCTGTGGAGAACTCGAACGCAAGGACATGTTTTCCTCTCGCTCCACACCACCCCAATGACGAATCGTTCTCGATTTGTTTAGTCCTCGTAAAGCTCGTACGGGACGGCGTCGGTGAACTCAGCACCCTCCATGTCTGAAGCCATTGCAATGAAGCGAAGGCAACAAGGAAATCGCGCGTGTGGAAAGAAAGAGAAAAGAGAGAAGGGAAAGGAGGGGAGAGAGAAGGAGGGGGAGAGAGAGAGACAGGCACACAGAGAAGAGGACGACGAACAGGTTAAAGGCCGAATGATAAACACTGCCGTGCTTCAAGTTCTTCCTCTCTTGCGGATAGGGCAGTCTCTCTTGCAGCGGGGGTAAATAGTCTCTCGTGCGTCCTCTCTACCTCGTACGCATTCTCTGCCGCTCCCTCCCGTTTCTCAGCATACTTTTCCAGACCTATGGCAACGGGAACCCGCGACACTTTTCGTCATACTGCTACAGTTGTATCTCCACCAACAACGTTAGCACACATGCACGCCCTGGTATGAGTACCTGCGGCAAGCAGCTCCCGCAAAGCCCAGAACACCGGTCCCGGTTTTGCAGCTTCAGCCTTGCCGGTTTCTGCGGAGGTTCCGTCCCCGATCGTTTCCTTCTTTACCCGGCCGACCGTGATCCCGTTGATCGACACCACGGAGGTTACCCCGCCGCCACCACAAAGAAGTATTTCTTTGGCTTCTTCGAGCTCGCTAGCGCGAACGAAGTCGAACTTGAAGGAAGTCAGCAGTCCGTCCTGCAGAGTGATCAGACACGAATCATGAAAACGCTTCCGATGCCTAGGCTGTCCAAAGTGAGTGAGGCGATGCGTTGGAAAGAGGGGAACGCAGCACAGACTGGGTGGGGGAAGAGGAAGTGAGGAAACAGGGGCACCCACGGCGGCGAATTCGGAGCGGATCGATACAATCGACATATTTTTTTGAAGATCCGCGAGCACAACGACCATTGAGATGCCCACGCCGAAAATATCACGGGTTTCGCCACTCTGCCTGTCTCCACCTGTATGAGCTGGGGCGCGAAAGCGAAAACACGCAGCAACGTAGTGCCGGCCAGGATCGAGCCGTCGTAGTGAGGGCTTCTGAGTACGCCGCCCTGGTCCACTATCGCAACATTCCCCATGCAGGTCTCCGCTACATTTCCAGCATCGTTGACCCAGATGCCTTCCATGCCGCCCTTGTCCTGATCTCGGCGAACAGACAGACCGAAAAAACGACAGCACACATCCGTACGGCGGCGGCGCTAGTTTGTATCCGTAGCATGTCCGTACGTGACACAACTACCGTTGTCCGTTCGTGGACGATTTCTAGCACACGGCTCGAGGCGCATTGCCGTGGAAACTTGTATCTGCGAGAAGCAGGAGTTATATGGCAGGGTGCGGTCGTGACGGGGGGGGGGACGTACCTGCGATTCCATCGCCGTGAGCGCGTTCAAAAGGTAGTTATTCGTTTTGCAAGAGGCCATGAGTCCGGTCTTCATGGGGACTTTCACGACCCACTCCTCGATCCCTTCCGACGGATGTCCGGGGAAGTCAGTCACCACGACATAAAAGATCGCATCTCCACAGCCTCGCGGGGAAACCATGAAGTCACCTCTGGCAGGAGGACGAGCGTTGCAGAGGTGAAGGGGGGGGGGCAAGCGAGATGAGAACGGTGGAGTAGGGTGGAAACAACAAGGAAAAGAAGCTGCCGCCTTGTTGTGCCTTGTTGTCAAAGGCACAGCTTTTCACAAGCGCAACACCGGCGCTAACGGGTGTGCGGAGCGCACTACATACATGTACCTTCATCATCAACGCTATAACGTAGCTGCGGAATACATACGGGGAGTGATGGAGCGGCGTCCGAAAACAGGCAAACGAACCCGTCCGTATTCCAGGAAAATCTGGTTGACGAATACCAGCGGGTGTGGGAGTGACGTCTGTCGGAGCAACAAGGTGCCCATTGGTCGAAAACGACTAAACTACTCTCCAACCGCGCGTTAGCCATCTCCTGAAACAAGATGTTTCAGACAAGAACTGGGCATACACTCGCGTACCTCCCAGCGCTGAGCCAGAACTTCGCGAAAGCGTCCATTCCGTTCTTGGACCGCCCGCCGGCGGCGATAGTAGCGAGAATGATGTCTCGCAAGGCTTCCTTCGTGTAGCTGTGCTCGATGCGAGCGGTGGCTGCACTCTTCAAGAGCCGATCCAGGTGGAAGTGAAGACCGTAGGCGCGGCCGTTGTGCACGTTGCACGTATCAAAAACTTTTAGTTTGGTTCGATTTTTGACCCGATTGAAAATATTTCGGTGCGTACCAGTAGCAGGTGCACGCAAACAAGGAAGCAAGAGGCCGGAGAGCGAAGGCGTGGTGGCGGGAAGTGGGTAGTCTTTTCAACTTTGGTCACGAGGGCTGCACGCGCCCAAAGGGATGAATCGACACAAGCCGTCTTGGATGCACTTCCGTGTATGCAGTGTAGAACGCGACCTCCCGAAGGCACCCATTGTGGAACTTTGGCCCAAGACTTTCGGCCTCGGGCTCAGAGACGCATCGGCACCTCAACAAGACGTCGATCGATCGCACTTGTTGTTCGTCTCGCATGTGCAGTGTACCGGCAAGCTTCGCATGATAAGACGACACAGGTGTACTTCACACCTGCGTGACCTCTGTGGACCATGTGGTCGTCGATCGGGAGTAGCATCAAGGCGCTGTCTGTGACGATGCCGCCAGCCAACGAGCTGTAGAACGATCGCCAGCTAGACGTTGGAGGCAGCGCGGCTCGCAGTCGTTCGACCCACGCGTCCTGCGTGCGACGGAGACGCACAATCAAGATTGTTCACGAAAGAAAAAAAGTCAAATGCTGTACAAAAACAAAATGTCGCAACAAGAGTGAACGGTGCACGCGTAGTCCGGTTAATTGCTTGTACCCTCAATCGTTCCACAAGCAAGCGTGAGTCAAAAGTGTCGATGGGGTGTCGACGTGGGACGATGGGGATGGGTTGAACACGGCTGAACACGGCGCGGCGGAACTGAACTCACCGATCCAACTCTGCACCAAGTTTTTAGCAACCACGCAGGTGCATGTGTAGTAACGTCAACAGCCGTGCGGTTCGGTGCTCGCTATCTTGCTGCCCTCTACAGCCGTTTTCTACGTAGGGGTGGGGTACACAGCGAGGTGGCACGGGCGACGCAACATGGGGCACACAGATCATATGGCGTGGTGAGCGTCCAACATCAACTTCAAACATGATCGTGTGCTACCTATCTGAGAGAGCTGTTGATTTCACCTGTTGCAGCACTGGAAGCTTCGTGACTTTTGGGGAAGGTAGCGCCATGGTCCCAATATATCGTTTAACTGTCCTTATTATGCTGCGATGGATGTGTCGTTCTGCTGCGAGACACAGCACACGCAGTGCAACTCATGCGGAGCGGGAGTGAAGCAAGAGTGGATACCCCACCTCCCCGCCAGTGCCCCACTGAGATACCCCGCCACCGAAAAAAATCTAACGCGGAGCCCCCAAGGTTGCGCCGCTATTCTGTCAGCCCACAGCTGTGTTTTGGCGAATTCAACGTAACCACCCGTAGCGTAGCGCTGCCCGCTGTACGGTCGACAGCGCTTGCAATACAGGAGAGATTCAGACGAAAAGACAAGGAGGTGTCGGTCAACCTTCTCCTGAGATAGGTTGAACACTCCGCGGGCACCAAGGAGAGCCCTGTTGGAGAAGGAGTGGACTGGATTTTCGTGGCGGCCGTTATAGACATTTCGACGAGAACCCGCAGACATTCTGGGAACGCTGGCTGTCTGCTGAGTGATGCAGGCCACGTGAGGATCGGTGCTGACCTCCAAGCATGGATCGCTATCGCGTGGACAAGGTGGTGGGCAAGGGGAGCTTTGGTCAGGCCATCCTCTGCGCTAGGATTGCAGATGGCAAGGTAAGATGCGATGCAACATCTCGAACTTCTCTGCCATCTCCACCTCTTTTTTTCTTTTTTTGAATGCACGATTTGAGAGGTAGATGCAGTCTTCATGTCATCTACCATACTCTATGCATGTCGCACATTTACTTCTGCTGCGGGGATCACACGCACCTTCTTCTCGACGACGTACCGCGTAGCGCAGGTTTGAGAACTACTGGATGAACTGCACATGCTTGAACTACTGTAGGCGCCAGACCCAGCGCGACATACTGAAAAAACCTGCCTGTTGTATATACACATGCAGTAGTAGCCGTTCGGTTGTGTCGGGATCCGGAGATGCTGTCGTGCGTGCATCGGCAGATCGGCTTGCACACCGACCGCCTACGAATCTGGTCAACGCGCTTGGAGTCTTCCTGCGTTCGAGATTGTGCTGGAGAGTTCAGCTCAAGAACGAGCAACAGCGGCAGTGTTTGCGATAGATCGGTTCTCTCCTGCCCTGGTTATCCTTCCTACGGCACTCTGTCGCTGTTGTCGCGAATTCGCAACCGACCCAACTCTCTCGCGCCACCCCAAACGTGCCTGCCATGCCATCGACACAGGCGTGTATTGTCAAGCAGGTGGACACTTCGAAGCTCCCTGCAAAGGCTCGTCGAGAAGTGAGTTGGCACGAAAGAAACATCCAAGTGGTATTCAAGTCTTCGCCCTAAGGTCGTAATTTCGTTCCACGCACGTTACCAACAAACCACCGTGTGGACTGCTGTTGTTGTGATGCCGCCTATCCATAACTCCACTAATACTATATTCCACCAGGTATACTCGTGAACACCTCGTGCACGATACCTGAAGATGTGTTTTGGACTAGACGCCCAATGACCGATTGTCCCGGTGTTGAAAGTCGAACAGGCGCGGGTTTAGTGGATCTGTCTGTCGTGTACATACAAGCTCGGCCGTTTCTTGAGGGAAACGCTATTTAGAGCGTTGTTTGCCACGTCTTTGTACGGGTCTTCCGCTCAACCATTCCCGCTCATCCGAAAACCGAGTCACAACCTGCACCCACGCCTATGTACCCCCACGCCGACCGCGCACGACAAAAAGGCGAGCAAAGAAGCTACCTTGCTGGCCAAGCTCAAGCATCCCAACATCGTGGGCTTCTGGGAGAGCTTCTTCCACGGAGCCTCTCGAGACGTGCTATGCATTGTCATGGACTACGCCGACGGCGGGGACCTCAGCTCCTGCCTCAGCAGGAGGAACGGCCGCCTGATCGACGAGGAAATTGTCCTCGACTGGTTCGTGCAGACGACGCTCGCTCTCAAGCACATCCACGACCGAAAGATTTTGCACAGGGACCTCAAGACGCAGAACATCTTTCTGACGCGTTCGAGGGTGGTCAAGCTCGGGGACTTTGGCATCGCTAAGGTAGAGGGGGAGGAGCGCGTTCGGATACATAGGCGATTAGCACTTTCGAGTGTGACGGAATGCATCAGCGGCAGTTGCAGACAGCATCCCGATCTGCGTATTGTCAGACGTCATAGGTCAGCTCGACGTGACGATGCGAAACGAACGCGGCAGTTTCGATGACTGGTGCCCCACACTGCCTTCACAACAATAGGCAAAGCCCCGAGCAGCAAACTTGCAAACTGGGATACTGTTGGACCATTCTGCTTGGCAACCAAAACAGTTTTCAGTGTCGGCTGGCACTCTATGTGTATAGAAGTATATATCTCCCGTTTTATGTCGCTCTTGCGGTCGTACCTTGCCTTCTAAGCACCAGTTTGTGCTTGCCCGTCGAAACCCCGTTAAACGATTAAAAAAGGTCCTTGGGAGCACCTTTGACCTGGCGAGGACAGCTATTGGAACTCCCTACTACATGTCACCCGAGATATGCCAGGAGAAGCGGTACAACCACAAGTCCGACATGTGGAGCTTAGGGTGAGGGAGGAGGCGTGCACGCCGTGGGTCTGCTACCTCCAGATTCTTGGTGGTTCGGCTCGAACAACCCAACCCTCTCGATCGAAAGTTGGTCCGTCGAGGGCGCCCAAGTGGTTGCATAGCCAAGGCTGTGGGTCGCTGGTGTTCGCCAGGTCCATTGCTCTTTCGAAGCAGTCGCACACCGTCGAAGATATCGCACCTAGCCCGCTGTTGCGGTAAATCTGCATGATATGCGTGGACTGCTTAGAGGCTGCAGGGACACCGGAAGCTACAGCGTAGTAGACGGTTCGCTGGTCGGGGTCAATAGTATAATCTACAGTAGTCGGGCGCGTTGTCTACGAGTACGGGCGGAGGAGTACGGAAAGGGTGGATCGGGCTAGGTTCAAATGAAGGCCCGGGGTCTATTGCTGTTACGGACAAAAAGGCGTTCCATGGATGCGTCTTTACGATCCACTTCCTTTCCGTACTCTTTGCTGCCGCACAACCTCCTCACTCTTGTTACCCCCGCCCCGCGCGCTCGCCCCAACCCTGTCCCTGCTCCTTCTTTCCTCTTGTGGGTTTTGGTACCTGAAATATCGCTGAAATATCAAGTTGCGTCCTGTATGAGATGACCTGCCTACGTCATGCGTTTGAAGGCAACAACATGCGGCTGCTGGTGATGAAGATTTGCTCGCAGGATCCGCGGCCGATATCTGCAAGGTGGGTTGACGCCTTACGCGTCCCCTTTGACGGATACCCCCTGGTGTGTGCGTGGTGCGTGTGTATGTGTGTGTGTGTGCATGTATGCACCAGATGTCGAGGTGCTCGAACCCGTTGTGGGAAGCATCTTTGCCGTAGCGTGCACATGTAGCCTGTGCTCGCCGTTTTCTCAAGCGGGCCATATGACGGCACTTTGTCGCAGAACCAGGCTCCAGCATGCGACAACCGAGCTCAGAGCAAAAACACAGCAGTCTCGAGGTAGATGAACTTCTGCTGGGCCTTTTTGTCGAGCTCTGACAGACAATACGCGAAAAAGCGTGCGTCTTCCCCTCCTTGGTTGACTGCTGTCGGCGGCATCACGACATCGTACGAAAAACCATGTCTCTGTGCGCACCTCAAGTCTCGGAAGGGTGTGTCGGATGTCTGGTTTTCACACGAGTTGCCGTGGCCGCGCACACACAGGTATAGCTCCGGCGTGCGCAGCCTTGTGGCGCAGCTTCTGAAGAAGGATCCCCACGCGCGGCCTAGCACCGGTGCGGTGCTGCGGCGACCTCTGATGAAGGATAAGATCGGACGCTTCCTCAGCAAGGCGCAGGTGATTGACGTTGGCGCAGTCATAAAGTGTGGATGGTGATGTCGAGTCGTGGACCGGTACTGCAGCGGCGTTGCGCCACGCTGTTCCCCTCACCCTCTGATGCCCTCTAGTCTCCCGCCACAACTTCTTCGGTCTCCTCCCGGTCCCAACCCCGCGTGCTCGCTCGCGTTGCCCGACCCCGACCCCGATCTTGTCTACGCCCGCGCGTCTCTCGTCGATGAACCCCATGGCACGATCTTCACGTAGATCAAAGAAGAGTTCAGCAATGGTGTATCTCCAGGCCATCAGCCAACCGCCTCCTCCTCCTCCTCCTCCGCTGCCGCTGGGGCCGCATCCGCCGCGCCGAACTCTCTGTCCAGTGCGGCCGCCGCCGCCGCCGCCGCCCCTCGGTGGCCGTTCAACGGTGCCGGTATCAGCCGCCCGCGACCAACGGGCGCTTCGCCCGGGGGCGGTCGCGAGAACATCGACGCCGGGCGACGGGCACGGCCGATCGGCCTCGAGGGAGGACGGGGTGGCGGCGAGGTTGTTGCCCAAGGAGAAGCGGCAGCAGGCTTGGCGGAAGAACGGAGAAAAAGGTGGTCCGCAGAAGAGGAAGCGGCCGACGAGCGGAGGAGGAGGGCTGAGGCTTTGGCGAGAAAGAAGGAGATTCGTGGTGGGTGCTCTGAGTGCGTGCTGTGAGACGATGCATATAGAGCCGCTGAGGGTTGCATTGAGAGTTGCTCACTTTTTGGGCGGACTTAGGAGGTGGGAGCCTAGTGTAGTGTAGGTTGAAAGATTGTGGGGAGGTTTGCTCTCTCGGAGCTCCATCCCACAAATAGTAGCCCGTACCGCCCTCGCTGTCGTCCACTGCTGTGGTTTGGCATGGCGCCCACTCTTCGCTCGTGCCCCCCCCCCCCCCCCCCCCCCCCCCATGGCCGTGTCTTCCCCACTCCAGGGCACCGCCGCGAAAGAGCGCGGGGAACTCCCGGCCCTCCCCCCC